GGGGGGGGGCGGGGAAATCCACCACCCCCATCCTGCCCAGGCTCCACCCCGTCTAGGGGAAGCTGTGAATTCTGCACTTGGGACCTTCCCCTTTTCTGAGGTGAGGCAGGAAGTGGGGCTCTCACAGCCCCTCCTGGTTTCCTGCTTACCTCTCCCCGCCTCTTGCCCCATCAGGCAGCAGCGGAGGTGGGGTGGGAGGTGGGGTGCAGAGATGCAGACCCTCCCTCTCACGACCCCGACCCCCACCCCTCACCCGGGCTGTCCCCGTCACGCTCCGAGACCCCTGCCCCTGCCAGGCCGCTGCTCTCCACCATCTAGCGACGCTTCTTTTGTGAAGTGTCGCCGAGGCAGCCACCATGAGGAAACGAAGGGGCCCTGTTCTAGGAGCAGGACTTCCGCGTCCCCATACGCACCTCCTGACCCAGGCAGCTCCTTTCCATCCTGGCCTCCTTGGGTACAACTGTAAAAGGGGGTTAATTGGGCCTCCTAGGAGCCAATGGGTTCCCCTTCCTCCCCTGCCCCGCCCCCATGTCTTAAGGCTTCTCCCGCCTCCCTGAGGCAGTTTCAGGGGCCGAAGGGATGGGGGTAGTAGCGGGCTCGTGAGGCATCCTCTCCGGGGGAAACCACACTTTCATAGCCACAGGCTCCTAGAAGGTCCAAGGAGAAAGGACCTGGTCATGGGGTCCAAATCCTCAGCTCCCCTATCTCACAGATCGGAGAATCAGGACCCCAGGAGGGGCATAGGTTGCCAAAGGTCAAGGTCAGGGTCAGAGGCTGGGAATATCGCCTCCCTCCCTCCTTTCCTTCCTTCCCGCTTTACTTATTTAAAGGAATGAGTTCGTGTATGGAAAGTATGTACCTGGCCCCTGGCAAGCACTTCCTAAGAGTTAGGGAATATTATTATGATTAATAGTATTAATATGAAGGTGTTCACTGGGTGCCCATGTGTGCCAGGCAGGGGGACACCGTGGGGGCACAGCTGTGTGCGTCTCCTGGACACTCCCCTGTCCCAGTGGGGACTCACCACGTGCCCCTCCGCCGGCCTGGCTGGTGACCCAGACCCCTGTGTGTGTGAGGGGGCAGAGAAGGAGAGGTTGGAGAGGCCAGGAATGGTTCAGCACTAGCTCAACTGGTCCTGCTTCCTGGAAAAATGACTCCTTGGCCTGAGGGTTCTCCTCAAGAGAAGGGTGAGCACAGGGAAGCTGGACTCTTCCGGAAGCAGGAGGGTTGTGTCCGCGCCCTGGGAAGCTGTACAGGCAGGGCTGAGGAGGACGTGCAGCCTGAGTGGGGAGGGGCCTTGCCTGGCTCCACGGAGCCCGAGGGGGCCGAGATTCTAGCCGGGCTGCTCACTGTGTCGGAGCTCTGTAGACTCTACCCCCAAAGGTTCGGGAAACCCCAGAGCAGCTTCCTACTCAGAGCCCTTGCCAGGGAGCCCAGTTCACAGAGACGGAAGCGGTACGGCTCCCCCAGGCTGAGCTGGCTGATGTGACCTCCCCGGGGTCCACTGCACTCTGCTCAGAGCCCCCATGGGGAGGGCTGGACCCCCAGCTGGGGATGTGGCCCTAAACACCCAGGCCAGTCCTGGCTCTAGGGCAGCAGCAGCGGGTGGGGACCAGGGGAGGGAGACTGGCATTTGCTGAGCAGTAAAAAGGTAGCAGGCCCCACGCTGAGTACACTGCCAGAGTCATCTCATTTGGTCCTCTTCACAAGAGGAAACTGAGGTTCAGCCAGGTGGAGTGGTTTGCTCAACATCCCATGGCTTGTAAGGGGTTAAAAGCGAGGGATTAAACTATGTTGGCCTGGTTCCAGAGTGGGCACTATTTTCCCCATGCCTGGGTGTGCCCAGCTCGGGCCCTGGCAATGGGTATGTGGCAGAGGCATGACAAGGCAGAATAACGATGTTACAGTGGTAATATCAATAGTAAAACATGATGTGTACAGACCACTGTCCTCAGTCATTTACCATGGGGGAAACTGAGGCACAGAGAGATCACTCAACAAGTAGGTGCCAGAGCTGGGGTTTGAGCCCAGTAGCCCACAGCCCACCCTTTTTTTTTTTCTTTTTTAGGTTTAACAGCTTATTTATTTTTTTAGGTTTAACAGAGCCAGACTAAATGATTGTGAGCTCTGCCACTGGGGAAGCTGACCAGGGAGTTCCAGGGCCGGGGGCGGGGGGGGCACTACTGGATCCTGTCTGGGGTGCGGGCAGGGAGCCAGGGCTGGTCAGGAGTCACTGCTCAGTGACTAGTTTAGGGCCAGAGTTTATGGGGGTGTCCTGCATTCGCAGCTGTGTTGCCATCTCCCTCCAGCTGCTGTCCCCCACCTCAGCTGGAGGGGGATCTGGAGGGGCTGAGACCGGAAATTACCCCAGAAAGAATCAGGGGGGATGACATAAAACTGCCTTTCCTAAAGTGTGTGTTCTGATGGCCACCTGGTGGAGGTGAGGGTGGGAGTGGAAGGGGGGAGGGGGAGGGGAGGGTAAGGATGTTGGGGAGGGAGGAGAGAGAGGCGCGAGGGAGGCTTGTGTGTTTGGAGGAGTTGGGGAAGCATTTCCTAGTCTCTCCACTCCCCGCCCCATTCATAAAGTCCATTAGCATTTTAAAGGCTGTGAGGAACCCATCTGTGCTGAGATTAGTCAGTTATTTAACCCAGTGTTTCCCGCACTCATCTACCCTTCCCTGCTTAACACCCCTGAGGGAGCCAATCCAGGCTCAGCGAACACCGTGGGACACTCTGGTTTAAACGGGGACCCTGGGGGTGGGTCCTGCCCACCAGAGATGGGTCCAGGAGGGACAAGCCTGAGCAGCTCGGCAAACCCCACACTCACCCCAGCTCCCCGCTTCCCGGGCCTCTGCAGGGGCCTTTGGCCCCTCTGTGCACAGAGGTGCTGAGAGAAGTTTGTTCCTGTTGCTCCCCCAGGTTGGGCCTTTGGTGGGCCTGGGCTGGGGCTGGCCGATGGGTGGGGCAGGGGGAGAACGCAGGAGGACCGGGCCTCCCCCAGATTTGGGTCACCTTGGGAGGAGAGGGGTGCTGGTGGGCAAGTCCCCACAGGCGGGCCTGAGCAGATGGCCAAGGGGATTATTAAAATCCAGCTTTGTTCTCATCAGAGGCTGGGCCTGAAAGAGAAGGGGGAGGCAGCAGGGGCCCAGCCACGGCTGAGCCATTGTCCCTCACTTTGGAATAGATTTTTCTGCCACAGCCAGGACGTGAAGAGCAGCTTAAGCAGGGAGAGGCTGCCTTCTGTGGGCCTGGGAGCCCACCCTGAACTGCCCACTCCTGACCTTAGGGTAGCAGAGGGCAGTAAGATAAGCTGCCTGATGTCATGAGGACCAGGGGACACTGAGGCAACATAGGAGAGTAGCTTTTTTAGGGACCTGCCTCCATGATGGCCACATACATGACAGTGGTGATGATGATGGTGATGGTGATGATGATGGTGATGGTGATGATGATGGTGATGGTAATAGTTATAATACGGATGATGATGAATGTGAGCGTGGTGGCTGCTATTTAATGAGCACTCACTTTGTGCACAGACAGGTGAGTTCATTCAGCTGCTCTAGCACTCAGAGGAGGGTGGTGGTAGAGCCTCAGTGCGAACCCAGGCACTGCAGAGCCCAGGCGCTAAGCCAGCGATAAGCAAACTTTCTCTGTAGAGGGCCAGGTAGTGAATATTTTCAGCTTTGTGGGCCATCTATTCTCCATGGTAACAACTCATCTCGGCTGTTATAGGATGAAAGCAACCACAGACGATACAAAAGCAAGCGGGCACGGCTGTGTTCACTAAAACCTTGTTCACTCAAACAGATCATAGTTGCCAACCCCTGCTTTAAACCACTTGGGTCTTTAACTTCAGAAGGTCTTCCTTGGCCATCTCCCTGACTCTCTACTTTTCTCCCAAGCACTAGACTATTTACCATATGAAATCCATCCTCAAATGTTGGAGATGTGCTACAACTGAGAGACAATTCCTTTACTGGTTGATTGACTCGTTCATTCAAACAGTCATTAATTGCTGTTATTATCAATGTAATGATAATTATTGGAAATATTTTTATTAATGACAAATATTAATTATTATATTACTGTAATATAATTATACTTGTCCTGTGTTAAATATTAGATTGATTACAATATTATTATGGTATATTATAACAAATCTTATTAATAAAATTATTAATATGGAAAACCATAGACTTCGGCGTCAAAGCAGAGTTATAATCCCAGCCCAAGGATTTTTCAGCTGGAGATTTTGAGTAAGTGACTCAACCTCTCTGAGTCTCAGTTCCCTCTTCTGTAAGATAGGCATATGGTCCCTCCCTCTCAGGACTGCCATAAAGAGAGAGTGAAAGGATATGTAAGCCCTTGGCCCAGTGTTTGGCCCCCAGCCAAGGGTTCCACTAAAAGGTATTATTTATTATACAAAGGCATGTTTGTTGAGCGCCTGAATGATGGCATGAATGAAGGTGAGGCCTTTTGGGTGGGTTGGCCCCAACCCTTGGCTCTGCTGTGCCTCTCCTCCCTTAAAGGTGAACCTGTACTTGGACCCGCCCCAGCCCAGCCACAGCATCCACACTGGGACGATGCCCCAGGGGACCAAGGTCTTGTCCTTCACCATCCCACAGCCCCACTCTGTAGAGCGGTGGCCAGGCCCCACCAAGGGCCTGCAGACCTCTGAGGCTTCAGGTGAGTCTGGGAGAGGAGATGTGGCTGAAGGGCTCCTCTGTTGTGACCCTGCTCTAGGGACACTTGGTTCACCCTGGGGTGGCACTGGCTTCAGGCCAGGGGAGGGAGGGAGGTGAGGCCCCTCTCTGGGCCCTGTGACTTGAGGAGGTCAAATGGAGATGTAGAAAGTGTCTGCTTTGAGCCAGAGCAGCCTGGGCGAAGCCCTAGCTCTGCCACCTAGCAGCTGTGTGATCTTGGACGAGTTGTATGACAAAGAGCATCGTCACTGTAGAGCCCTCACCCGGTGAGGTTCCCACTGGTGTTACCCCACTGACAGTCAAGGAGACCAAGGCTCAGAGAGGTGAGGACACGTAAAAGGTCACACTGCTATGGGGGAGGGTCGGGATTTGAACTCACATCTTTCCGAGTTGGAGCCCACACTATTGACTGGAAACCCAGAGGCCTGGCTTGGCTCTAGCTGTGTCATCCGGGGCTGATCCACACCTTGTTCTCTCCTATAAATGGGGACAACACTGCCCAGGCCCCTCCCTCAGGTCGATGTGAAGATGGCACGATCGTGAGACGGCTGAGCTTTCATTCGAGGATGGAGGTGGTGGATTTGAGGTTCAGCAACAGTCTCTCAGCCCCGGGAAGGACTGTTCTTGGCCCCAGCATTTAGTGGTTGTATATTCCAGGGTGGCCATCAGCTGAAGGAGACCTGAACCCCTCCTCGCCCCCCAGCACACCCGCCCTAGGGTGGCTTCCGGACGACCCGGGCATCGCCCAGGACCAGCCCTCAGCGGAGCAGGCCCAGGAGCTGACTTCTCGGGCCAGTCGGTTCCTGGCCAAGGTGAGTGGAACCCCAGCTTTGCCCACGAGAGATGGAACTCACCTGGAGAAAGCAGAGCCTCTGCCCGCTTGGACGTGGGGCTGTCTAGGAGGCTCGCTCATTATTCCCCTGCTGGAGTTAACTTGGAGACAGAGCCTCCCTGACCCTGGTTTTAGAGACCTCCTGGCTCCAGCCTCCTCCTTGTCACCCAGTGCTAGATTTAACTCCCTTTCTGGCATTGTGTCTCATCAAACTCTCTCTAATTGTGCTTGAAACTATCTCCGGTTTCACTTCTGGGGGAGACTCTCTGCCTTTTCAGGATTCCGGAAGGGTTATGGAACATCTACTCTACCTTCTCCTCTTTAGGATAGATCACCTCACTTCCTTAGTTCCTTTCGTTATGGAAATCAATCCTCAGTCACTTCTCAAGGGGCCTTTATATTTTCATCCAAATAACTATGAATTGTTTGCAGGTCTGTTTATAACTATACACTTGGCCTTATTCCAAAAGTACTTTAAAGCAGCTTAGAAAATACACGCATTGTAACCACATTCTGAAAACGGAAGTGAGGAAACTGGGGCAAAGGGGAAGTAAGGATAGGAAAAAAATAAAAGGAACTTAGGGAGAAGTGAATAAACAAAATGCTCTGCTGGACCCTGAATGCTTTATCAGATTCACATTTGGTTTTGAGCTTCCTAGTTGTCAATGCAGAAAGGGAAATGCAATAGTTACATCACCACGTCCATAAAACAAATTCTTTCAAAGAAACACCACCATTCTTTCTTCCCTTCCTTCCTTCCTTTCCTTCTTTCTTTTTTGTAACATCTTTATTGAGATATAATTCACATAACATACAATTCAGTCATTTAAAGTTAATGCTTCAGTGGCTTTTAGTATATTCACAGTTGTGCAGCCATCAACACAATCAAGTTTAGAACATTTTCATCACCCACTAAGAAACTGCATATGCATTAAGCAGTCACCCCCCATTCCCCTTCCCCCCAGGCCTTGGCAGCTGCTCATCTACTTTCTGTCTCTTTGGGTTTACCTATTTTGGACATTTCCTATAAATGGATTCATGTAGCATTTGTCCTTTTGTGTCTGGCTTCTTTCACTTAGCATAATGTTTTCAAGGCTCATCCATGTTGTAGCAGCATGAACTTTATTCCTTTTTATCACCGCCAATCACCACCATTCTGGGTCCTGTAACTGGAGAGATGTTTCTCCTCCTTGTCCTGTGTGCTCTAAAGTAAAGCAAAACCAAGGTCACCACACTGAGCAAAATCTGGGGCACCAGCTGACCCCTAATGATCCAGGCTGCCCTGTCCATACAGGAGCCACTGGTCAGGTGGCTAGTGAGTACTTGACATGTGGCCACTCCAAATTGAGACGTTCTGTAAGTGTAAAACACATACTGGATTTCAAAGACTTTGTGCAACAAAAAGAATATAAAATTTTCAATATATTTTTTTACATTGATTACATGTCAAAATAATATTTTAGGTTTGTAAAATATATTATTAAAGTTAATTCACTTGTGTCTTTTCACATTTTTAGTATGGCTCCTGGAAAGTTTTAAATTACATATGCAGCTTGCATTCATTTCTATTTTATGTTATATAAATTATATAATGTAATTATATTAGGTAAATTTCTATGTTGTATTTTGGCACTGATCTAGAGCTTTCCTAGAAGTGCTAGAAATCTCCAAATTGTCTTTACCTTTTTTTTCCTAATTAAAAAAATTTTTGTAACAGTAATAGATACCCATGGTAAAGACCCTCACACAGGACAAAGAATATATTCAGTGAAATCTTTTCTTCCCCTCTTGCCCTTCTGCTTCATGCAAAATGTTTAATGCACACACATGCATTTATAGAAATGGTCACATGAGTATGTACACTATAATGTACCTTGACTTTTTTAATGTCCCAAATTTGAATATTTCTGGGTAGGCAATAAATTCACTTTGTTCAAAGTTCAGAGGATACATATAGCGGAAAACCTTCCTCCCATCTTTGTACCCACCCACCACCCAGTTCTCCCCCCTAGAAGCAATTAATATTTTAGTCTCTTGCATCCTTCTAGAGATAGTTTATAATATACCTTCTAGAGATAGTTTATAATATACCTTCTAGAGATAGTTTATAATATACCTTCTAGAGATAGTTTGTAATGCATAAGCAACTGTGTTTGTATTTTTCCTTCTTTGTTCTCTCCGTATCTTATACAGATGGTAGCCTACCATAAGCACTGTCCTGTACCTTGATTTGATGCTGAAAAGTAGGTCTTGGAGGCATTTACACATGAGAATACACACACGTGCCCTCATCTTCTGGATGGCTGCATACCGTTCCACAGATAGGCATTCAGACTGTTTCCTGTTACCCCATGCCCACCACGCTGCCGTAGGTTTCACGCACAGGAGTAAGTGCGCTTTGCTGTCAATAAATTCCTGGAGGTTCCACTTTGATTTTTCCCAAGGCTGCCATGGCCAAGGCCAGTGGTGGAGCTTTTCTGGCACCCGCCTCTCCGTGCTTGTCAGAAAACCCACATCCCAAGGCAGGGCCCAGCTCTCCGCACCAAAGTGTGACTGTGGCTAAGTGTGGGAGTCTGTAGGACTTACCTCCTGAGTCTGGATTAATGGAGCATGTTTCCTTCCCTTTCCAATTCCCAGGTGGAGTCCTTTGTAGAACTGCTGCAAGCAGGACAGCTGACACCCCAGGACCAACTCAAGGTAACTGCCCACTTCAAGAGATGCCCTTGGAGCTGCCAGACAGCTGCTCTGTTTCCCATGGCACAGGCTCTGAAGCCTCGTTTGCTGCAAGACAGACCAGAGAATCCCAGACATCGTGTCTCCTTTTAGAACAAACAGCCCCTGATTAGCTTTCCATGATAATGATCATTATATCACAATAGTCACCATTTATTAAGCAAAGATGCTGGTGTGCCAGGCACTGTGGTAAGCCCTTGATGTACATTATTTCATTTTATCACCATAAAAACCCGGCAAGGCAGTCACAGTCATCACCCCCATTTAACTGGGATGAGCTGAAGCCCAGAGAGGCAGCTGGAAGGCCACACAGCCAGTAGACGGCACAGCCCAGACCCAGGTCTGTCTGATTCCCAAGTCCAGGATCTTAATCGTTGCCCTGCACAGCTTCCCACGGATTATATTGCCTGTCGGCAACCAGGAAAAGGCCTTTTCTTTTTATAATTTTCCTTATTATAAAAGTAATTGCTAAAATTTGAAAACTGGGGGGAAAAGGGAAAGAAACCCCTAATCTAACCATTATTGGTTTATTTCCTTCTGGGCTCTCGTATTTCTAGATAACTGTGGTCATATATAAAATTTAGATTTCTGACGCATCAGCCAGGGTCCCAAGAAGATGGAGCTCTCAAAGCTGCGGGTGTAGGGATCAGTGAAGGGACTACTAGCTGGGGTGTGGGCAGCAGCCTCAGGGAGTCCGGCCAGGGACAGGGAAGCCCAGGGACTAGTGCCTGCCCGGAGCAGTTCCCTTCTAGGTCTCTTTCCTCCCACCCTGTGACCTCTCATAGATGCCTCCCCTAGACAGGCCCCAGGGGAAACCAGCAGGTCAGGAGCCCAGCTGATGCTCCAGGCACAGAGCCGGGTGGGGAGAGGAGCTGAGGGAGGGGGAGTAGGGCAAGTGCAACGCACTTGGTTTGATAGTTTTTACTGTTAATATTATGTTACTAAGCATTATGTTACTATATAGATGTTACACACATTCTCCAATTACAAAATGTGATATGGATCGTATTATCTCACTGAGTGGATGATCAAGGACCTTGAAAATCAAAACCATTCTTTTTCTTCCCCCTCTCCTGATTCCCCCATATGCAGGGACAGTGAGAGCTTTTGGAAGATAAAGTTTGACTGGGGACTAGACTCTAGGTTGTCCTTGGCCTCAGCCTATCGTCAGCATAGGATGAGTGAGATGAGGATGATAAAAAGCCAGGGATAATGAGCCCACCTCCCATAGTTTTAACCTCCCATGAGTTAGCTACAATCATGTTTACCGTGGGGACCTAGCATAATCGTTGTGACCATGAGCTCTGGAGCTAGAGGGCCTGGGTTCATATCCCGACTCTATGTGACCTTCACTGACTTAAGTAATCTCTCTGTGCTGTAGTTTCATCCTGTTTAAATGAAGATGATAAATTACCCCTCTCATTAGGGTTATGTTGAGGACTAAATGAATAATGCAAAGGGCTTTAGACAGAGCCTCAGTGCTCGTAAATGTTAGTTATCATTATCAACAGTGTGATGGTGATGATAATACCATCTGTTGTGATAGTCTATAAGGATTTGGGAAAAGAATGACTGATGTTCCAAAATCCACTGTTTTGAGAATCGAGGATGAGGATCTAAGGTCTCTCAAGTACTAGGTCCTTATGGGGATATAGTGATAGCATATTTGACACTATGACCATCATGGAACATTGGGTTCTTGTAGGTCTACCCAGGAAGGACTGGTACCCTCCGGGGCTGGTGCCAGTGCTCTAAGCCATGCCTCTGCCATACCAATCTGATGGCAGGGAGATCGACCAGAGTGAGCAGGCTCCAGAGGGTACCAACCCCAGCCTTCCAGATATTCCGGGGCCTGGAGGCCTCCACAGTCCCAGAGTCCCATGCCCCTCCCCTCCCCCAAAGAGCTGTCTCGTCCACTGTGTCTGCAAGGATGGAGCCCACGGGGGCTGGGCACTCAAGTCTTCCTGGCCTGTCTGGTTTCAGGTCTTCCAGCAGCTAAAGGCTGTCCACGCGGCCTTGGAGGAGGAGTATCTGAAGGCCTGCAGGGAGCAACACCTGGCCCAGCAGCTTGCCGGCTCCACGGGGACGCCCGGGAGATTTGATCCCGGCAGGTACATGCTGGGGAGAGAGGCCTCCAAGGACAGATGGGTCAGGCCCTGGGTTCCCACCAGGAGGGGGACAGTTTGTCCTCATAATTCACACACTAGGGGAACAGGGAGAAATCCTATCCCAATTAACAACATGTCCAGATGGGGGGATACTTGAAGGCTGAGATTTGTGTCCTTTTGGAACTCCCTTCAATGAGAAGTGACCTTGGAGATAAGAGTTAAAGCCCCTCATTGGACAATGGGGAAACTGAGGCCAGAGGGGGCAGGGGTTTACTCAAGCTTCCGCAGCCAGATGGTGGCAGAAAGGGACTCAGGCTGAGGCCTCCTTATTCCCAGTGGCGTCCACTTTCACCTTGTTGATTTTGCTCTCCACATAATCTAAATTATGATGTCAGATGCACGCTCCATGGGCATCTCTGGGGCCTCTGCTCTGAAGCACAGCCTCCCAGACCTGCCTGATGTTTCCTCGTGCCAGGGAGCTGGAGGCAGAGATATTCCAGCTGGGAATTCGCCTGGATGAGCTGAAGGACCACATAGACCAGAACCAGCAGGAACCTGAGCCAGCCGGGTCAGACTTGGCTCTGGACAGCTCCCCAGCCGTGCCCTCCCCCCTCCAGCCAATGGGCCTGCTCCCTCCTTTGGAGCAAGCCCCCACGCCAGCCATCCAGACCCTCTGCCCTGAGGTACCTCTTTGCCCAACCGTATTGGACTGTTCCTTCATTCACTGTTTTCTCCATTCATTAACTTCTTCATGACATATCTGAGAAGTTGGTACCATATGTGCCAAGACTCATGACACATGGTGGGAATTCAGTAGAAAACAACTGAAGTAATAGGTGGCCTGTACCCTCATGCAGTTCTCTGTCTAGCTGAACTGGTTACCCAGTTACTTAACTATAATTTTGATCAGTGCTCTGAAGGAGAATTATGAGGTCCTATGAGAGTAGATAACAGGGTAGCATATCTGAGTTTAGGGGGTCAGAGAAACTTTCCTTGAGGAAGTAATGTTTAAATGAGATCTGAGGATGAGTAGGAATTACTAGGTGCAGAAAAGCCACCTGGCAGGAAAAGCAGCCTGTGCAAAGGCCCTGTGGTTAGAGTATGGACCCTGAGGAGGGCGGTTGTCTAAGAGGCAGGGGAGACAGGCAGGGGAGGGGAGGAGGCTGGGGAGGCAGGCAGGGGCCTCAGGATGTACGTGTGTGGGTCACATCAAGGGGATGGTCTTAAACTCTGCTGGAGTTTTCAGCAGG